AGGAACCCGGACGAAGCTTTGCCGAAGGGCAAGGTTTCGTTCGGGGAGGTAGACAGGGCCTGAACCCGTCAAGGCGGGTTCAAAGGCTATATTTTTGGCCGAGCCTACGGGCTCGGAGATACCCACATTAAACCGGCCTTGTGCCATATTCGGTTCCCGTGGGTGGATCGATATATACCAAGACAGATAGACAGAGATGGTAAGACCTCCGAGTCTAGGTGAGTCGTGATACAGTCTTTTGACTGTAAGCGACGTCTGTCGAACTTTGCGTTAGCAGAGAGGAACCCGGACGAAGCTTTGCCGAAGGGAAAGGTTTCGTCCGGGGAGGTAGACAGGGCCTGAATCCGTCTAGGCGGGTTCAAAGGCTATATTTTTGGCCGAGCCTACGGGCTCGGAGATACCCACATTAAACCGGCCTTGTGCCATATTCAATCCTCGTGGGTGGATCGATAAATACAGACAGATAGACCTAGAAGTTCTCAGCTGAGCTAGTTATTGACTACTCAGGCGATTTCTGTACCTTTTTACCAACCTATTAAAACTCTTTTTATTGTTACGTGTTATTTGGCGTTTGTCTCTACTAACTCCAAATCAACATCATAACACATTCAATATGCAAAAAACAAAAAAACAAAACAAAAACAGATTTTATGGTCATCTGCATGTACAGTAGTCAAAGATGAGACCCTCTAATTGGAGAACCAGGCTGGAACTATATGGGTGGTTTGCTTAAAGACGACGGAAAACATGATACAGAAACTTGAGAGCGTAAATGCTTCCTCCGCCTGCGGAGATTGAAGAGTTCCACTCGCTGTGCGTATTCATGGGATGATGCATCCGACGAGTGACCCATGTTTTCTGGGAGATGATTGATTTTATCGAGATGCTATCTCTGGAAATGTTACCAATCAAGTTTACAGAACTCAGTTCGCCCAATAGCTGAGAGGAGAAAGGGTAGATTCATAACTTGCCAAAGTAAATCTAACGAACTCGGATGGAATTCGAACTCAGCCCACCGAGTTCTCATTCCAAGTCAGAATCCTTTATGTCACATGCACATCCACAGAGAAATGGCATCAGAATACGGAAAGAGGTCTTCCAGAAAATAAGCAATGTATTAAGACACAGGAAAATTTCGTTAAAACTAGAGACGTGTTTATACAGAAGGATGGTTAGAATACCATATCAGTTAATTATGTGCCATGCTTAGACGATCATGTATCTTTCGATAAATGATTGATGAGGCAGATTTTTCCCTCAGTAGTTAGCTATTTCTTTCTGCGGTAGTAAAATTGCCATCGAAGGCTATATAACCCGGTCTGTCCTGCTGTTTACCCATAGCTGGGAGAGACGAAGTTACATACTGGCACGTAAGTGAATGTAATAGATTCGACTAGAATTCGAACACGGCTCTCCTATTCCTCAATCCGCGCCCCGCTATCCATTACTCCACCGTGCCTCCTCATGTACCTTTTGGAAGAAGCAGATAAACAAAGAAGTTTTAAGAATAATGGAAACAAAAAGGCTACTTAATATCAGAAAGACTTTCAATTTCTCCGACATAGAAGTCAGAAAGAAGTGTTTTAAACATTGACATAGGAAACACAAAGGGAAGAGGATCAGATGGAAACAGTGAGTAACACACATAAAAAAGCTTTTCCGAAGTTTTGACATTACAGGGATTGTAAGATATAATCAGGAAAGAATATTGTTTAGAGCCGCAAAAGATAGGAAGTTCCAGAGAGCCCTGATCGTCTGCAAATGGAGGAGACACGACATATAAAGGAAGTAAAAAAATCAATAAGATGCGAACTATGATGTCCACATTATTAATTACTGAGCCCTTCCGGCGAAAAGGATTCTAAATGGCTTACCGTCAACACGTGATTATTCATGATCGTTGTTGTCCGAACTGTAAAAGAAAGAAATATTTGTTGTGCCAATTAGATATTCAAAAATAGATTGTTGTACAGTTATGGCGTAAATAATAAAACGATTTTACTTTGTTTAGGGAGTGGTTTCTTCTTTATTGACATGTAATAATTCTATAGATGGAAAATCTTTATTCACATGGATTATCTCTATAGATTTAAAGGCTTTATTCACATGTATTAATTCTATAGATGAAAAGGCTTTATTTACATGTATTAACTCTATAGATGTAATGTAATCATTCAAATGTATTATTTCTAAAAAAATGGAAAGTCTTTATTGACATGTATTAATTCTGAAGATGAAATACTGATGTTAACTTGTTTTTTTTTTGGGGGGGTATATAAATATTAAGTTTTTTTTTATAAATATTATATTCCAGGCGATTATTGTTCCAGACTGATTTCTTTTCTTAACAGTCTTTTGTCATGAATTCTTGGGGAGAAGATTGAAATCATTTCTACTTGCCTTTTCCAATGTTTTAAATTCAATGTTTCCATTCCCCTAGACTCGATATGTCAACTTACTTTACCATTTAACATATAGTTTTGGGGGAAGAAGCGATAGATAGATTTATTGATGTATTTGTTTCTTTAATGGCATATTGACACATCATGAGTCATTTAATGTCAAAATTGAATTTTCTTTGAAGCTTTGAATTAATAAAAATAAGATATGTTATTCTGCTTTCACAATTGAATACATGGTAGAAGATACTTAGATTTTGTGCACATGTTTTGTGGACAAAATTACTAGAGGCAGGTGCTATATATATGTGGGTGATAATATATATTTGCTGTATTTCTGTTGAATCTATATTCTGGCTTGGTTGGTCAATTTTATTTAGCAGTATATCAATCTTTATGGGTTATTTAATGTGGAAATCTAAGTATTTTGAACGCAATTGTATGCCTTCATTTACGTATAAAATTTACTGTTGGTAATTTCACTATAAATAGGCATTGATGTTAATTTCATTATAATTTTGTATGGTTCGTACTGTTTTTATATACACAAATGTAATGCTAGTATTTTACTATAAAATGACTTTAGTTTTTTGTTTTGCAGTTCAGTATTTGCCCTTCACTACGACCCCTAACAGGTTTTACAACCCTGTTTTAGGCTGAACCAGAAAACATCAGCAGTTAAGTGGTGGTTTCACGCCCCTCATACACTGGAATCTCCTGATCAGAGGCTTGTTATTATATATATATATATATATATATATATATATATATATATATATATATATATATATATATACCACATAACACCCTTGGAGCGCTTAGCCTTGGAGCGGGTAGAATGGAGATCAACGTGTTTTAGTGGACTCCAGTAATTTTAAATCTGCTTGATTGAATCATCTTTCAAGATCTGAAAGGTCAGTCAATCTAACAGTGATCTCATCTCACAATCCTCACACTTGCTCCATATGTGGCCTTTGTAAATCACTAGCGGATCTTAAATGCCACTTAAGATTATCGCACAAAATTTCATAACTGAATCAATAGGTTGTCAGATCGTCATACGTCGAAACTGACGGGAGATCCATTATATATATATATATATATATATATATATATATATATATATATATATATATATATATATATATATATATATATATATAGAGAGAGAGAGAGAGAGAGAGAAAGATGTATGCAGTCAATATTTGCTTTTTGCGCTTTATGTTCACTGTATATTTCTGGTTGTTTAAAAGTCTCTTAAATTTCATTAAGACACATCTTATGAAGGATAACTCTTATGTGCCTATATATATTGCTAAGATAAGATATTGTAATTATTTATATTATTTACATTGTTCGGACAGCTGTCTTCATCTTTATTGCCATATTCACGACGTTTCGTGCGTTGAACGCTCCGGCCTTTTCAGGTGATTGGAATTTTGAATTGAACCATTTATTTTGTTTACCTGTGTAGATTGTTCTAGTTCCATGTGCAATGCCTCTTTCGGATATCTCAGTTATCTCCCTTTAACTAAAGTTTCCAAGTAGGCAGGTACTGAACTCACAATTCTTTGGGTCAAGTCACTGGATCCAACCAACGCTTTTATCCACTGAGCCATGTGTCCTTGAGGACATGGCACGTGGAAATAGAACAATCGTTTTAAAATATTTTGTGAAGAAAGAGTATTTTAGCATAAGTCTATTACCTAATTTCATCGACGTTTCAACAGGAAATATGGCACCAATATCCGAAGGCGCACGAAAATGGCGAAAGATGCCTTCCGGAATCCAAATAAATTATCAAAACACAGAAATATGTTCTTAAGAAAAGAGTTGGGGGAAATGAAGTATAATATCAATCTTCCTATATGTCAGTAATTGCAGGACAGTTTCAGTGCTGCTGAAGAAGACAATTGTGGCAAGAGAAATGTGTTCTACAGAAGAATGCTGAGAATACAATACATGTAACATGTGATCAAACAGGAATTTTTAAGAAAAAATATATTTAAAAAAAGGACACCTTTACTTAGAATCAAAAGGATGAGTTGATTGATGTATTCGGTTTCTTCGTTTTATTAACCCTTTGCCATTTATTTAACGTTATCATATATTATTAAATTGTAAGAATTTTTTGAGATAATAATGGGAGAAAAGGTATATTCATATCTTTCACAAGGGTATTTGCCCATATACAATATAAAGAATTGAAACTCGGATTTCCGTTTTGTTGTTCATGATGACGGTCGTCTTCGAGTATAGAATCCAGAGGTTAGCAGTGAATATTTCGAAGACAGTAGGAAAGAGTTGTTCAGGTTAGCAGTGCATATTTTGGTAAAAGTAGCAGAGCATAGTTCGTCCTTCTGGTTCTCTTCGCCTGACAAGCTGGACTGGACATTAGGGTATAGTAAACAAAGATGGCCGCCTTTATACACGACGGATTGAATATTCTACGTCTTCTGATTGGTTAAACTTCTATTGGTGGACTATAAAGTGAGTCAAGTCATCTGGGCTAACTCACTAGTAGATAGATATACACAAAAAAACTGCAACACGTTTAACAATTCCGAGTTGTTTATCCATTCCACCTACCACACATCCAGGGCTACAGCATCTTGTATTCCCAGGCACTCACCAATCTAGGTACTGACCAGGCTAAACATTGCTTAACTTCAGTGATTGTACAGGAACCGATGTTTCAACATGATGTTGCTGCAAACAGTATCAAAACGAGGCAGTTGAATGTTCTGGAATACATAAGGAGTAAAGACGACTTGGATAGTATGACATGCAAATTTTATATTGAATGCAAGACGGACTAGAGGCATTAGAAAAGAAAACGTGTTTTTGTATACGCATAGACAAACAGGGTCATGTTTACATAGTAAGGAGTCATATATTTATTAGAGCTACAAAGGAAAGGAAGTTGTAGAGTGACATTTTCTCCTACATCCTAAATGCACATGGCACAAAAACGAATAAAGGAGAACATTCTCTATGTACCATAAAAAGGTGTGTTTTTAGATAACAGAAACATTTTGATTCCGTAATAATAACCATGCTTACTGTGAGACAAATCTACAAGAGTTGGCTGAACATTTCATAGACTGAACAAGATACACACATGGAATGTTACCAAATGAGATTTATTTTACAATATGATGCCTCTTGCGGGGCACGGTGATTGGGTACCACTAGAGAGGAAACCTTCATTCTGTTTGTTAAAAAAGGTCATCAACAGCAGATATGACATCGTTATCATCATTGCGATGCTGATTCCTAGCCAAGTGTTCTTTCATGTTGGAGATATATGATAGTCATATTATGGCCAAATCAGGAGAGTAGGGACGATGTTCATTCAGTTTAAATTCATAGTCACACAAAGCAGCCATTGAAATCAAGACTTGTGCGCTAGAGCATTGTCCTGATGAAGCAACACACCTTTCGGCAATATTCATGGCCGTTTGCTCTTGATAGACTTTCGTAACTGCCTCAGCAAATTGGCATAGTACTCTCCATCGATGATGTGGCGATTTCGAAGATAGTTAACAGACAAAATGGCTTTGCATTCCAAAAACTAAAGCAATCATCTTCCCAACAGAGGAAACAATATTAGCTTTTTTTGGAGCAGGTTATAAGATTCCACTTTAGGGATTGTCTCTCTGGATCTGGCTTAAAGTGATTAGCCCACTAATCATTGTGGGTTAAGTATTGTTCATGGAAACCAGCTGGATCTGTCTCAGACAGTATCAGATTTCCAGCGATATGATGAATCTGGTGCGCTTTTGATCAGGTGTCGGAAGACATGGAAGCTACCGAGTAGAACCAGTCGTCATGCCAAGTTCATTGAGAGAAATATTGTCAACTCTCTTACGGAATATGCTAATTGCATTGGCTATTTGTTTTATAGTCTGTCGTGTATCATCCATCACCATGTTGTGAACAGGATCAATGTTTTCGCCGGTTGTTGAAGTTGCAGGACGTCAAGACAGGGTAATCTTCTAGATTTTCCCTTGCCCTCCTAAATTCAGCTGTCCGCTTTTGAATTGTTCATACAGGTGGAGCGCCACCCCTTAATAAATCAACAGTGTTTGCATGAATGTCCTTGATGGTTAAATAATTTTTCTGCAGGTGCTTCACAACACCATGATGCCAACATTTATTCATTTTCAAGAGAATTCTTCTTTGAACAGTAAGATATCAGTTTACTTGCCGGGTTACCTCTGTTAAAAAAAACAAATGTGAAATTTCACAGCTTTAGCATCACTCCTTAATAGTCAGCCTATAATCGTTTCAGCTCACCCTCGTAATGTTCTATTTAATCTTTAGTACCGTACATTATTCATAAATATTACTTCTCTTTCGATCATATATATATATATATATATATATATATATTGGGTTTCCTCAAATACAAGCTGCAGAAACCGTGATCTCGATTTTAGTCAAGACTTTTCTGTACTGTTGCTATTGAAGGATATAACAATCGTGAAATTTAAATATTCTGTTATTTGGTGATTGGAAATGGTAGGAAAAATGCTTGCCTTGGTGGCTGAAATTGCCTATTTTAAAATGTGTAACGAGGCTTAAATATACAAATCAAGGGTATTTGTGAATATCGATGATCAACTGCGTCGGCAAGTCACATGACTCATAAAACGAAAGGAGTCGATATTGGTCATTATTCACTTTAGGTTGAATTCATTACTAAATATCTTCTCACTGAAAATACAGTTCTCGTGTAACTTTTGGATCATTGACAGATTTTTTCGTCTTACCGTTTAGTTTCATTCTTTTAATTTTATGGATTTCACCTCAGATTTATTAGTCCTTTTATCTGCAATATTTCGTTGTTTTTTTTCTTTTTTTTGCTTATTTAAATTTTAAGAGAATGATTTCTTTTAATATCCAGTGATTACTTCGAACTATTATCGGAATCTTTAAAAGCCGTTAATTCTTTTCCTATTTTGTAAAAATATATCCCTGCCATTTCGGTTCATTATCTACTCTGTTTATTTATTTATTTTTCCCTCTAAGCATTCCCATTTAATGTTAAACGATTCATTCAAATTCCTTAATTATCAAAGCAGCCAAAATTGGCTTGTTGATGTAGCAACTGTTTTCTATTTACAAAACAAATAGATCAGCCTACAGAGATGTTATTCAAATCCATAATGAGCCACAAATGAGATTGATAGATAGATGAAGAGAAAAAGAGAAAATAGTATGTTTTTTTTGTCTGTGTGTTAAGTATAAAAGAAAAAAAAACAAGTTGATAATGCAACTAAACTCCCTTTAAGAAATGGATTTACAGTAACTTTACCGGTTTCACTCTTCTATGAGTTTCAAAAGTTACGCACACACATACACATGATATATATATATATATATATATATATATATATATAGATATATATATATATATATATATATATATATATATATATATATATATATATATAGATAGATAGATAGATAGATATGAAGTTGTATCCTCTGTCTGTCTGTTTGTTATCGAACTCTCTCTAGTTTTTGAGATAGACCCCGATAATCATATCTAATCTGAAACTACATTACCCAGGGTAATTGGATATCTCTATTTGAACTTTATCAAAGAGGGTCCCCGGGAGGCACGCTCACAACTGATTTTTTTTCCTTTGATTTAAATTAAATTTAAATTTCAACAAGGAAATGATTCCAATCAAAATATAGAAGGAGAAACCCAGAAGATGGAGGTCACATCGCCAAGATAAAAATGAGGCGATATGGATGTCAATTTGAGCAAGAAAACACGAATCAGCGGATAATGCCTTAAAATACATATTTGTTGCTAAAACTCAACTGCCATACAAATCTGCTCATCAAGTCATTCAATCAAGTAGTTCATCAAATCAATGTCAAAGGGGAATGATTAAGCTGCTTTTGCACCCCACAACAGAAAAAGTTTCCCTTTGATTTGAAATAAATTTCATTTTAAACAAGGAAATGATTCCTATACAAAAAATAAGAGAAAGCCAGAAGATGGAGGTCACATCTGGAAGGTCATAAGAGTAATATTGAAATGCATCATTTTCCCCACAAATTATAGCAATGATTTAAAATCAATCATCATTTTCTGACAAAAATGTGTGACACGCAGCAAGGCGCAGTTAATTCGGCTGGATATATATATATATATATATATATATATATATATATATATTGAATAGAAAAGAGAAGCCGCAAATGTTTTGGTAATAATGTTGAATTTTATTTATTTAAATATATATATATATATATATATATATATATATATATATATATATGGAGAGACAGAGAGAGGGAACGGGTGATTTATGATCTCGAGTGGTTTATGATAAAGCTCGCCCTTCCCTATTTTATTTACGTTCAAGTCGTCTGAAGATCGCGTGATCGTGAAACTGTAATAACGACGGGAGCTGTCCTTTTATAGAATTTAACATCGTCAATCGTTTTTTGATCTGTCTAGGCAATCTAGGCTTTGGGCCTTTTACTTTTTAGGCATTTTTTTCTTTTTCTTTATTTCAGTTCTTGTTCGAGCGAGACGTTATCTGGATAAGAGTTTTAGGTTTTGGAATGTTGTCCGTTGGCAACATCAACGGTTGTTGTTTTTTTCCTTAATATATATATATATATATATATATATATATATATATATATGTATGTGTGTGCGTGTGTGTGTACCTGTGTGCGTATGTGTATGTGCTACGTAACTTGGTAAAAATGAAATGCCATTTCTAATTCAATTTTTGAAATATTACTTTAGTTTTAGTGACAAAAGGAAAAATATAGCTTAAACCTCTCTTTCTCTTGTTGAAAGTGTCTGCCTCTCTGGGCATAGGTCAAGATGAAAATATGCCACAGAAATTCAGCAGGTGAATTTTCCATTGTAAATACATCTTCTCAAATTATGTGGAGAGTACATATCTTTCCAAGATTTGTTCAAAATATAGATTTGCCTTTTTGTAATGTGATTTTACAACAGGTTTTAAAAGACTGCCGCCGAGAAAAGTAGATATACCCTCATTACATAGGTTGAATATAAAAATTAAGAAGAAGTCTGTACTGAGGGTCAGAAGAATTGCAACATTATTATATACGTACAGGGGGCGATGGATGAAATGGTGTCTAAGTTATTGCTTCCAAGTGACCTTTTTGCCTTACTTGGAGGGAAGTGATTAAATAAATACATTTAATTAAGTGGCATTTTTTTCATATCAAAAATAAGCGAGAGAAAATGTGTCTTCAGATGTCGATTATATTAGTTCTCTTTTAACGGACGCTGATCAATGTGGTACCAAAATCTATTGATTCATTAGACTAGTAAATGGTGTCTTTGAAAAGCCAAAGAAAGTATTAAGAAGAGAATTCTGTTAGAAGCTAAGAAAAGAATGCCAGACTGATGTGCAATATCAATTCGTCTATGGAGCATAGAATGTTAGACAATTTCCTCACAGAAAAAGATTTAAGGCGAAAGGTATGTTTCACAAGGGAAAAAATATTGAATATACAATTGAAGGAGTATGTTAGTAAGGATCATTTTTTTTAAGAAAAATAGGATAATTGCATTCAGAACGAGGAAGCAGTCGCTGAAAGACATATGTCTGTTTAATTAGAATCAAGAAGAAGCATTTGCCATTTCTGGAACAAATAATGATGGAGGTCAAGTTGATCTAAAATAATAACATACATTCAATA